CCACCCCCCCCCTTCGCCCACAGCCACCACCGCCACCGCCGCTGCCGCAGCCACGGCCACGGCCACCGCAGCGGCCGCCGCCGCAGCCACAGCCACGGCCACAGCCACCCCCACCACCACAGCAGCAGCCGCAGCTCGGGGCGCCTGATAATCGTGGCCAACCGCCTGCCTCTGAGCGTGGAGCTGCAGGGGGACGGCGCCTTCAAGTACAGCAAAAGCGGGGGGGGCCTCGTCTCCGGGCTGCAGGGCATAAGGGGCCTCGACTGCATCTGGGTGGGCTGGCCGGGCGCGGAGGCCCCCCCAGTGCTGCGCCCGCGGCTGACTGCGGAGTACAGGCGCCACGGCTGCTCGCCCGTCTTCTTAGACCAGCAAACCATCGACGCCTACTACAACGGCTTCTGCAACAACGTGCTGTGGCCGCTGCTGCACTACCTGCCGCCCCCGCTGGACTTGGACTCTGGAGAGGAGCAGAGCCTGCTGCAGTGGAGGGCCTACGTGCATGCAAACGAGTTGTTCTGCGAAGCTGTCTGCGAAGTGTGCACAGCCGCGCTCCAAGCCCCACACAAATCCCCACACGAATAGCAGTAGTGCAGCAACTAGAGGCCCTCAGTAGTCTTTAAAGTAGGCAGTGGGCGCCAAGTCCTGGCTGGCCGGCGAGCGCCCAGCAGCAAAAACTAACAGCCAGCCCCGAGTGCTGCAGTTGTGCTGCAGGTGATGCGCCCAGATGACCTCGTCTGGGTGCACGACTACCACCTGATGCTGCTGCCGAAGCTGCTGCGGGACCGCCTGGGCGACGACGGCTGCGCACTGCGCGTGGGCTGGTTTCTGCACACGCCGTTTCCCTCCAGCGAGCTTTTCCGGCTGCTGCCGTACCGAGCGGAGCTGCTGACGGGGCTGCTGAGTGCCAACTTGCTGGGCTTCCACGTGGACTCTTACATGCGGCACTTCTTCTCTGCATGCGTTCAAACTTTGGGGCTGGAAGTCACTGACCGGGGAGTTCTCGCTGCCCCCGTGGGCGGCGTCTACGCGCGCTGCGCAGCCATTCCCATTGGCATCGACAGCGACAGCTTCGTCGAACAAGCTGCTTCCCAGCAAGTGCAGCAGGCAGCAGCGCAGCTCAAGAAGGAAATGGGAGACAGACGGGTGGGCAAAGAGCTGCTGCTGCTGCTGGCGCTGCTGCGGCCGCCAGCGCTGCTGCTGCTGCGGCTTGTACTTTTCATGTTTTTGTCGAAGTCTTGTCTTTTTCTTTGTCCAGGTTGTGCTGGGAGTCGACCGGCTGGACTATATGAAGGGGCTTCCCCACAAGCTGAATGCCTTCGACAGGTTTCTGCAGCAGCACCCCGACATGAAGGATTCCGTGCTGCTGCTTCAGGTGGCCGTCCCGACGCGCACTGGGGTCCATGAATACCAAAAGCTCAAGACCAAAGTGAGCAGCAGCAGCAGCAGCGGCAGCAGCAGCAACACATGCAGCAGCAACAGCAGCAATTTTGGCCGCCGGAGTTCTCTCAAGCGGCTACTCCTCCTCTTGCTGCGGGCAGCTGCCTGCAAGCTCAGCTGCAGCAGCTGCTGCTGCTGCAGGCGCAGACCCTTTAGAGGTTTTCAGTGCGAAGGCTGCGAAAGAAATTATCCCTTGCGTTTAGTGTCTTCAGCTGCAGCCTAGACTTCTTTAGGACGAGGATCCAAACACTGCGGCTTGGGACTTGGGCTTGAGGGTTTGAGGGTTTAAACTCCCCAAATTAGGGTTTAGTGCGTAGGCGTGGTTTGCTGCGTGTTCAGGTGCACGAGCTGGTGGGCCGCATAAACGGCAGCCGCGGCAGTTTGTCTCGCGTGCCTCTACAGTCTTTGGATCGTTCTGTGAGTGCAGTCGATTTGTGTGCATTATATTTAGTGGCGGATTGTCTTTTCATTACTTCTTTGAGAGACGGAATGAACCTTGTGGCCCTGGAGTTCGTCGCTGCGCAGCAAGCCAAGACGCAGGTGGCGGCGGCTGCAGCTGCAACGCAGCAGCAGCAGCAGCAGCAGCAAAAGCTGCTGCAGCAGGACCCAAAGCAGCAGCCGCTCCCGGGGGACCCCACGGCTCCTTCGGCAGCAGTAGCAGCAGCAAACGCCACAGCAGCAGCAGCAGCTGCAGCTGCAGCTCCTGCAGCAGCAGCTGCAGGCACTACCGCCATCTGCAGTGCCTGCGGCCACCCTATAGGGTCTTGCTGCCAGGGGGGCCCCTCTGGCAAGCAGTGCAAGGCAGGCGACAGCAACCTGCTTAGGGGCCCCGGGGTTTTAATATTGTCTGAGTTTGCTGGAGCGGCGGAGTTTCTGCAAGACGGGTCTTTGATTATAAATCCTTGGAATGAACAGCAAAGTGCTGAGGCGCTTTATACAGCGCTCACCATGCCTAGGGCAGAAAGGGAGGAAAGACACAAGTGAGATGCAGGCACAGCAGCAGCAGCAGCAGCAGCAGCAGAAGCCGCTGAAGTATCAGTTGCAGCAGCAGCAGCAGCAGTCGTTGAAGTAGCAGTTGCAGCAGCAGAAATAATTGCAGAAGGCACGAAACCAGCAGCAGAGCAATGGCGTCATATGCGTAGAGATAGTAGCAGCAGCAGCGAGAGCAGCAGCACCAACGGAATGCGGATTGCGCCATGCTCCTCTTTTGGCTGTTTCATATTTGGCATTGCATCTTAAATGGTTTCGAATATGCAAACATTGGCTGAAGGCAGGAGATCTCCTAGTGTTTTTGTGAAGCAGGATTCGGGGTTTTAGAGTTTAGGGTTTAGGGTTTAGGGTTTGGCGTCTTTGTGTCTCAGGAAGCTGATGCAGGTAGTCACTGCAAACACCAGCACAATTTGGGCGCGGAAGTTTGTTGCTGCTCTCATAGAGGCCTCCGACGAATCCGAGGGAGTGTGTATACCCTAAACCCTAAACCCTAGCTACACCCTAAACCCTACAGCCCCGCTGCTGCTGCAGTTGCCTCTAATTCCCTTGCCTGCTGCTGCATGCACTTTATCCCCGCTGTTTGCCCTTTGCTAGACAGGAAAATGCGATTTGCCGACGTGCCGACAAATCCCATTTTCCTGTCTAGCATTTTATTGCTGCTGCATCAACGGCTTTTGCGTGGTGTATCTGCACCATTTGCTGCCTTAAGCAGCATCTTTGGGTGTATGGGCAGCTCTTCGGGCTGTATGTACAGCGCACATGAGTGGATCATTTGCGACGTTTTTGGGGTGTACCTGAACTGCGCCTCAGCTGCACCTGCAGCAGCAAAGAGGCTGTAGCTTTAGGGGATTTGAGGCTTATTTGCCGTTTCTTTGCTGCACATTTGCTGTGTTTTCTTTGCATTGCGGCATTTGTGGAAAGCTTTGGTGCTGCTGCTGCTGCCTAGGATGGGCGTGCGAGCAGCAAAAGGGGGCTGTCTGCAGCAGGACTTGCATGCAGTGCGTGGCCTTGCATGCAGTGCTTGCTGCGCATGCAGGTAAGGGCCTCAGTGCCCCCGCTGCTGCAGCCAGGAACCCTCGTGCCGCTGTTCGTGGGCTGCCTGCGGCCGCGGCTGCTCATAGTTAGCGTCTGGGGGGGGCTGCTGCCAGTGCGCAGCCGCAGCAACTTGCCTCTTCCCGAGAGAACTCCTGACCCGCTGCCGCTGTCTGTTGCTGCTGCTCTCGCGGCCCTCGCGGCGCTGCCCCACACTGCAGTGGTGGTCTTAACTGAACACCCGCGGGCTGCGGTGGAAAACCTCTTCAAAGACATTCCCGTTTGCGTTGCTGTCGAGAAAGGAGCCAAGTACCGGTCAGCACTTTTCAAACAATTACTTCTCAAAAATCCCCTATTTTCAAATCTCTTGCTTATTTGCAAATTTGCATTTTGTTTCCGCATGCGTATGTGCGCATCTTTCTTGAGTGCCCAAAGACAAACTGCGATTATTGTGAAGGCCCTGCTACCTCAGCATGCCTCTGCATGGTTATGTACGCCTGCATATATATATATATATATATACGTATGTATCAATATATATATATGTGTGCATATAAATATATCTATACATATAAATGTAGCATAAGAGCCACGCTTGAATAGATTATTTGTTTGAATATATATTCGTTGGCAAGAAAACTTTTGTCTTCGATGTGCATACATTTATGCACCCATTATTGTGAATCTGCTTACATAGCTGTGTATATGCATGCATAACTAGAAATGCCCACCATGCTTTAACGTGTACAAGTCTTCTTAGCCAAAATTTTCAAAGCTTTTACGGATAGACGCATGCTCGCATGCAGAAGGAGATAGGCTATTTCAGAGAGGCAGACAGAAATAAGAAAGAGAGACTGAGAAGTAGCTAACAGCAAACGAAGCAGAGAGCATCTCAGAGATACAAAGAATAAAAGGCATGTGAAATGACCGGAATTAATGAGCAGCTTTGGTTTTTTTGCATGCTTGCGGTGTACGTACAGCACACGGGGAGGACAGTGGCTGACTTTGCTCGAAGAATCTTCTCTCCAGGGTCTCGACGAATGGATGCCGAGCACTCGGACAGTCATGGATTACTACCAAGTAGCTAGGGTTTAGGGTTTGGGCTTTGGGGTTTAGGTTTTAGGGTTTGAACTACACGACGCAGGGGCGCATTTCGCTCCGAGCTTTCCTTGTGCAAGCTCGTACTAAGTGTCCAGTGATCACTGCCTCAGAAGTCGAGTTGATAGTGCTGCTGCTGCTGCTGCTGCTGCTGCTGCTCTGCTGCTGGGATTGCTGCAGGAGAGGACCCCTGGATCGTTTGTAGAGGCTACAGTTGGGACTCTGAACTGGCACTGGGACGAGCTGCAGCAAGCCTTTGGACGGCAGCAAGCCACAGACTTGCTGGCCTATCTCAGGGCTTCCTTGCTGCGGCAGCAGGAAGAGCAGCAGCAGCAAGTGCAACAGCAGCAGCAGCAGAAGCAGCAGCAGCAGCGGAAAGAGCAAGAAGACACAAACTCAGAGCAAAGTCACGGAACCACCCAGAGCCATCAGCAGCAGCAGGAACAGCAGCAGCAGCAGCAGCAGCAGCAGCCGCGGCGCAGCAAGGTGGAAGTCGTGCTGGGGCCTCGTTCAGTGGAAGTGCGCGATGTTGCATGCAGCAGGAAGCAACTTCTGGTCAGTGTCTTCAAAACTCAGAAATAGTTTTTGGACTTCAAACTTTGGGATTTGCAAAAACTTCAAAATGGGGCAGCAAAATGTTTCTATATTTGCTGCCGTTTTTATATTCCTTTTTCTTCGCTTTTCTGCACCACTTTGCGTCTGTTTGCTTTTTACCTTTCTCCTTGTGAGCCACTTCAGCTGTTTCTTTTTAACCCATTTTATTCTGTTTTCTTGTGTACTTTTGCCTTTTCTTTTCTCACTTTTCCTTTTACTGCATACCTATTCTTCTTTTTTCTTTGCTTCTTACTATTTATTCTGGGTTCTGTTGTGTGTCTCTATTTTTCTGCAGCAAATAGTTATTTCTTTCATTTTATATCTTCGTGTGTAGATACAATAGCACCATAAGAAGATAATTTGTGCCTTTTGTCTGCATCAATTACTTTTTTTTCCCATTTAATATTTTCAAATATTGGCACAATAGCAGTATAAGAAAATACTTTGTCTCAAACACTGTATTTATTTTTCTCATTTGATATTCTCAAATATTGGTACAAGAGCTCTATAATTAAATAATTTGTCTTTTTTGTTTCATTCAATTACTCATTTTTCTCATCTAGTATTTTCAGATATTGGTGCAATAGCTTTATAAGAAGATAATTTATCTCCTTTGTTTTGTTTCATTCAATTATTATTTTTCTCCTTCAATATTTTCAAATATTGGCACAATAGCTTTATAAAAAAGATAATTTGTCTCAATCACTTTACTTATTTTTTTCAGTTAATATTTTCAGATATTGCTACAACGACTTTACAATAAAACAATTTGTCTGTTTTGTCTCTTCCTCTTTTATTTTTGCATCTTTTTCGTCTCTGTCTCTATTTGCAGCTGCGAGTAGTTGACCGCGAGTTTGGTTCTTCTTTCTTGAGGTCTGTTGGATTTTATTTGTGCATTGGGAGTTTTGCCTGGAGAGAAGAGGATCTTTTTGAGTTGTTTGACGACGAAGACCAGCAGCAGCAGCAACGGCAGCAGCAGCAGCAGCAGCAGCAGCAGGAACAGGCCCCTGACCCGATTCCGCGCCCCCTGGCCATAGACCTTCCGAGTGTCTCCTTGTCTCCCACGCATGCACAGCAGCGGCAGCAGGAGCAACGTGAACATCAGCAGCAAGTACTTCAGGAGCAGCAGGAGCAGCGGCAGCAGCAGCAGCAGCAACAGCAGCAAGCAATGCAGACTCCCGAAGCAGCAGGGAACGCAGCGGCGGCACGAGCAGCAGCAGACAAAACAGCGAAAACTGCAGCACCAGGAAAGCCAGCAGCTCCAGCTGCTGCAGCAGCTGCTGCTGCTGCTGCTGAGGCTCCAGACCAGTTTTTGAAAAACCGCAGAATGTCGGAACCTACTCCCAAGAGACAGAGTCAGTGTGCTGCTGCAGCATGCAAGGAGCTGGCGCAGTGTACAGACACTGCAGCGCATGCAAGGTGCATGCGCGGCGGTGTCTGTACACTGCGCCAGCTCTTGGGGCTCTGCACTCTATAAACACATTAACAGTGGCCCCGTGTGCCTTATATACATGTATGACATACTATGAACCAACGATAATAGTAATAATAATAATAATAATAATAATAATAATAATAATAATAATAATAATAATAGGAATAATAATAATTGCAAATAGGACTGTGGGGCGCACAGGCAATCGACTGAGCAAACAAGGAACTTTCCCGCGCTCGAGCCCAGCCTTCATGCGCACAACCAGCAACAGCAGCAACAGCAGCAGCAGCAACAACAGCAGCAAAAGCAGCAGCAGCAAGAGGGAGTGGAACTGGGCAGGGAGGACTTGCGTTTCAGTCAGGTAATCTTCATTCCCTTGATTGCATGCATGCATGCATGCAAGCATGCAATATATATGCACGCAAGCATGCATGCAGTCCTGGATTACAGCTCTACACTATCCTGTCTGACCTCTGCCCTCTCCTCGTGTGGCTCTTCAGCCCCTTACTCTGTCTCACTTCGGCTTTACCGATTTTTTTACATTTGTTTCTCTTTTTTTGTATTATTTCTCTTTTTTTGCATTTGTTTCTCTTTTTGGAACTTTTTTCACTGCCAAGTGCCTCTATATTGGCTGGCTTGCCAGTGGTTCCTTCCGTCTCTTCTTTCGAAATCTTTGTCTCGTTTTTTTGTTTATTTTGACTCTTTTTTTGGAAATTGAAACTATCTTTTCTTGTCAATTGCGCCTTCAGCGTGGGTCTCAACCTTTCCCGCGCCCGCACTTGTGTTCCCAACGCCTACCACGTACAGAGCCTGTTGATACACCTGGCCGAGGCAGTGGCAGCTGCAGGGATGCATGCGCAGCAGAGCTCTTGGGTATAGTGCGTGCATGCACCAGTGCATGCATGCACCGGGGCATGCATGCACCAGTGCATGCATGCACTGGCACTGGCGCATGCATGCACTGGCGCATGCATGCGGCATACCCAAGAGCTCCAGTGTATGCAGCTGCAATTCCCCTAGATGTAGCCTAAGCATGCTTGCATGCGGGCTTGGGCGGATGCGTGCACGGGTGCATGCATTCGCACTCTTTCTTTGGCTGCGGGTCCGTGGCCAGGGGCCTTTTGTGCAGACAGTCCTGTTTTGTATTGTTTGTTGAGGGGCCCCCAAGAGGGGCCCTTGAGGTGGACTAGAGGCAGCAGTTAGCTAGCTAGCTAGCTAGCTAGCTAGCTAGCTGGCTAGCTATGCTTTGATTTAGCTACCTGGCTGTGCCTTGCACTTATAGCATAGTAGCCAATGAATGGAGAAACAGACTAAGGAGCGAAGCGACCAACAAGCACCGGCAGATCGCAGCCTCCTAATTGGCAGCCCGAAAATTTTATGTTCGGTAGATTAGCGTGCATTCTATATTTGTCATTAGCAAATAAACTCTCCAAGATTGGCACTTCTAAGTGCTGCAAATGGTAAGAACTACGAAGCAAGCATATCAGTGTTCACACAAAATATGTGTAACTTGCTAGAGACTATTTGCGCATATATTACTATATCATCCCAGCAGAGAAGTGTTCATATAGATGGGCCGTTCTGAGCTTTTGTAGGCTGCAACTAAAGGTGTTAAAACGTTTACCTGCTTGACATTAGATTCTGCATAGCAAGTATAGATAATAATGAATTGAATTAATTAAAAGGAAAGATAAAAGAGTAACGCAAACGCCACAAACACAAGTCCTGTCCGGGGGCCCCTGAAGGCGGTACTTCTTGCGTTTGTTGACACAACTCAATCTCCACGTTTGTTGACACAACTCAATCTCCAGATGAATAGTCAAACTAGCTAACCAGCCGATTGGATAATCAGTTCAATTCAAGTATGTAGCAAATGTAGATGCATGCATGCATATATAATATGCGTGCATGCAAATTATATATGCATGCATGCATATGCATGCATGCAGGGGCTTTTATAGCCAAAGACCGTCGGGGTGTTGTTGCACTTTGCGAATTCGATGCAGCAGCAGCTTTTGATTAGCAGGCTGTGAAGACAGCCCCACGGCTTTGAACAGAATGCAAAGTTTTGTTCGAAGCCGCTGAGGAAGGCAATTTGCTTAAAGCATTTCGGCTTTCAATGGCTAGCTGCTGCTTTCACCTTCAACTCTTTTAGTGTTGGCCTGCAAGTCACTGCGGGGTGAATTGGCTGCAGGGAAATTTGGCTGTTGTGTCCAGCGAATAGTTTTTTACATCCTCTTTTGTTTTGTCTAAACACCTACTCTAATGTCCAGCACTCAGCGAATAAGCCGGAACTCAAATATTACAAAGATTTAGGAAACAAAGCAACAAAATTCGAGCTATCGGGCACAAAAAAGAGGCAGCACTGTTTGCAGAGTTGCATATTTGCAGCTTTCTCCGGAAGTCGCCGATAAAAGATGCGATTTTTATATACAGAAAGCAGCAATTATATAATTATTTGCATGCTTTTCTCGTGGCTCAAAAGGGAAAAGCTGGCGAGCCAGGCTGATGCAGATCCAGAAGATAAGTCTTGGGAGGAGTTGGCAGCACTTGTGCATCAGAACTACAGCCACGCAGGTTTGCCGTTTTCTTTTCCTTTTTTTCTGAGTTTAATTCACTTAATTTTGCTGTGCTGCAGTGCCTGAATGACCGCAGATGGCCATTTTATACTTCGATTGCTGAGTCAGGTGAGAATTGCAAAAGTTGAAAAAACTCAATTGAAATACGGGCACCGGGGATCGAACCCGGGATCTTCTGCGTGTTAGGCAGACGTCATAGCCACTAGACCATGCCCGCGACGAGAGCTGAGATATTTTGATTTAAAAATGAAATTCTTTATTCAGATTAAATCCTTTTAATCAAATATTAGTAATTAAACCAAACAAAGGGTCAAGAACATCATTTGGGAAGCTCCTAGAGCTGATGCTTCAGCTATTTTCCCAGCCCGAGTCCTTGAAGTCCCCACTTTCTTTCTTCCAACTTCTTCCGAAAAAATAAAACAATTTAAAATAAAGAAAGCCAAACAATCTTCCCAATTTTGCTGTGCCGGCTGTGCTTTCTTGCACGAGCCATCAAGTAGCTGCTACAGCCATTCTGTGGCTTTTTGTGTTGCACGAATATTCGTGCAGCTGCGCCGATAGTGTGCAAACGGAATATCTTTTTGCTGCACAAGAAAGTGTTGTATTTAATTCTATTTAAGAGCTCTTCTTTTAAGCTCATGTAGATTAAAAGAAAGCCAGTTTTGCTGTTCTTTGCTGCTGATTGCAGCTTGTGCGCGTCAATAATAAAAAGATTTGAAATGTTGTCAATAATAAAAACATTTGAAGTATTTGCTGCTCACCATTAGCTGCGCCAAAACATTTGCAAAAGAAATGAGCAGTTTCTCTTGTCTTGTTTATAAGCAGCAGCAGCATCATTTAGTAAACATCTGAGAGCAGGAGAGGCTACAAAAGCTCAAAAAGATAAAAACTCAATTTTTTATTTTCAAAAGAAATTCGAGACTTTTGCTTCAGCTGCAACGCTAAAAAGGACCAGTCTAGCTGCTGCTGCTGCTGCTGCTGCAGCACCTGCAAATGGACTTTTGTATTTTCCCAGAGCAGCTAAACCCTCACAAAGTCCCTTTGGGGGGCCCCTGAGGGGGCCCCTATAAGGGCCTGCAGGTATCAGTAGCTACGTGGGCCGCTCTTTGCAGCTGGCGGGTGCAGCAGCAGCAGCAGCAACAGCAGCAGCAGCAGCAGCAGCAGCAGCATCAGTCTGCTGCAGCGGGCCATTTCCTGTGCATTTTGCCGCTGCTTCAAAGCGGGGGCATTCCTATGCGCAGCCAGCCCCGCATTCCAGCCACTCTAGCTGCTGCTGCTGCTGCTGCTGCTGCTAATGGCTATTTAGCTGCAGCTGCTTACTGCAGCGACTTTGGTTCTTGCTGCGCTGCTTAAAAGACTGCCTAGGACTTGGTCAAAAAGCCCATTAACTAGCCACTATTCTATTAATGGCCCCACAGCTGGGCTCTATAGAGCGCAGCAGCTTCGTTTGTTGTTTAAAAAGACAAGTTTTGTTATTAAGACTAATTTAAATTGAAGGCACACAAGTGGGGCTTCTTCTTTGCATGCATCCTGCAGCAACAAACCACAAAAGGCACTTCTTTCTTTACTTTTCCAAAGCCTTGCTGCGCTGCCAAGCCCCTCCCGTTTGCTGCAGCTGCTGGCAGCAAAACGCAAACAGCCAGAATGTGCTGCAGCAAATAAGACAAGCTCAATGTGCATGCAAAAGGCAGCAACTGGGGGGCCCCCTGAGGCCCCTAATCAAGGGTACACGGGGGGCCCCCTATTAGGGGCCCGCAGGAAGATCTCTACAAGATTAATAGTTTTTTATATTTGTTTGTTTTCACGAGAGTTGGCTGTCATTTAAAAAGCTGGCACTCCGCGGTGTCTGTACAGCTCCTCCTGCTGCTGCAGCGGCTGCTGCAGGGCGAACTGCAGCACATAACTTTGCCAGTCTCATTTATATTTAAAAACTTTCTACATTTTGCAAAAAGACTTCAAAAAGTGCTGCAGCAGCTGCATGCATGCATGCAAAAATGGCGGTCTCGAAGCCCCGGGGCTGTCTTGTGGATGCATGCAAAGGGGGTCCTTATAGCTCTATTTGCTTCTCTTTAGCCGTTTTTTCTTCTCCTTTTGATATTTTAATTTATTTTTAATTATATTTCACCTGCAGCAAACTCTAGTTCAAATTAATACGGGCAACTCCGGCAGCAAAAAGACAGGGGGGCCCCCGCCCCACCTTGGGAACTGCCCAGACACCTGAGTCGCTGCGCAGACTGCGCACTGAAGCAGGCTCCTGCTGCTGCTGCTGCTGCTGTTGCTGCTGCTGCTGCTGCTGCTGCCCCCCGCACACGCTGCAGGGGGCCCCTTACTGCAGCAGGGGGCCCCCCCAAAAGTGTACATACGGCAGCACATCTGATGAGGCCCCCTTTGTGGGGCTTTTCTTGGGATCCGATCCCCGGGGACGGCCCAGCAGCTGCAACGGGAGAAATGGCTGCTGCAGCGGTGATGCATGCAGCAGCAGCAGCAACAGCAGCAGCCACAGCAGCTGCAGCAACGGGCACTGCTGCAGCAAACGAAGGGCCGGGCCAAGTCTCAGCAGCAGCACCGCCAGCTGCAGCAGCGGCATCGGATGGCCAGACCAACGGCACGGACTGCAGCAGCAGCAGCAGCAACAACAACAACAGCGACGGCAGCAGCAGCAGCAGCAGCAGCAGCAGCAGCCATAAGTGCAATGGTGGCTGCGAGTGCAACATGCTGCAGCGCTGCAGCGAGTTTCCCAGAGGCTTTGGCTTGCTGCCGTGTCTGCAGCTGCTGCCGAGTGTCTCTGCAGCAGCAGCAGCAGCAGCAGCAGCAGCGCCGAAGGGCCCCGCGCTCCGGTTTGCTGAGGTGTACGTACACCTGGAGGCTGCGCTGCAGCACTTTGCTGCAGCACAACCCCACAAAGTTGACACAGAAATTCGCTGTCTTCGGAAGCAGCAAAAAAGGCAAGACACTTTTTGCTGCTGCTGCTTATTTCTGTTTGCTGCTGCTTGCTTCTGTTTGCTGCTGCTTGCTTCTGTTTGCTGCTGCTTGTCTCTGTCTGCTGCTCTATGTTTCTATTTGCTGCTGCTTGCTTCTGCTTGCTGCTGCTTCTATTTGCTGCTGCTTGCTTCTCTTTGCTGCTGCTTCTATTTGCTGCTGCTGCTTCTATTTGCTGCTGCTTGCTTCTGTTTGCTGCTGCTTGCTTCTGTTTGCTGCTGCTCAGTTTGCTGCTCTTTGGGTCTTTGCTTCTTCAGCTGTCTGTCTTCATTTTTATTTATTTTTATTTATTTGTTTTTATTTTCATTTATCTTTTTTATTTATTTTTATCTTATTTATTTTTATTTATTTTAATTTATTTTTGTTTATTTATTTTTTCCTTTCTTTATTTTCTTTTGTTTCCTTGCATCATTTTGTGCTGCTGGTTTTGAGCCCAACCTAAACCCTAAACCCTAAACCCTAAACCCTAAACCCTAAACCCTAAACCCTTGGCGCTGCAGGCGGCTGAATGCAAAACGTCGAGGTGCAGAGAAGCGCAAATAGCAGGGCTGCAGCCTGCATCTCTTGAGTGCTCACAGCTTGGGGTTTAGGGTTTAGGGTTTAGGGTTTAGGGTTTAGGGTTTAGGGTTTAGGGTTTGGTGCGTGGGTCTGCAGCGCTTGGGGCTGCTACTTGATTGCAGCAGCAGCACACCAGCTGATAACGGAGGCAGCAATGTCACACATCTGTACTGCCTGCAGCAGCAGCAGCACCAGCAGCAGCAATTGCACGGAGCAGCAGGCAGCAGCTCCAGCAGCAGCAGCTGCAACACTGGGGCTTGCTTCTGCTGCTGAGGTGCGCAGCAAAGGCCTAGAGCTGCTGGGCTTGGCAGCAGATGGGCAGCCGCGGCTGCTGCAGCAGCTGCTGCAGCAGGAAGCAGTGCTGCAGCGGCAAAACCTGGAGTGCAGCTGCTGCTGCAGTTGCTGCTGCCTCTGCAGCGTCACTGCTGCTCTTAAGGCCCGCTGCTCCATTCTCACGCTGCTGCTGCAGTTCCTGCAGCAGCAGCGGCTGCTGCAGCTAATGCCGGCGGACTTGCGGTGAGCAGCTGCATGTGCTGCTGCTGCAGCTTTTCTCCCGTTGCTGCGCTCTTTAGGAATCGACAGCAATCTGCTGCTGCTGCTGCTGCTGCTGCTGCTGCTGCAGGCAAGATGCGCTGGGCCTCTTGGATGAGCTTCGGCTGCAGCTGCATGCGCTGCTGCCTCCGCTGCGCGCATGCACGCAGCGCAGCCGCGAGTTGCAGCGCGGCGAGCAGCAGCGGCTGCTGCAGCAGCAGCAGCAGCAGCAGCGGCAGCAGCAGTCCAGCAGCAGCAGCAGCAGCAAGGGCAGCGTCGAAGCAGTCCTCAGCAGTGCTGCCTTGTGCTGCAGCGCCAGCACGCAGCAGCAGCTAGAGTTGAGACGCCTGTGGCGTTGCGCTCTGCTGCTGCAGCTGCAGCAGATGCTTGAGGAGCAGCACAACGCCAGCAGCAGCAGCAGCAGCAGCAGCAGCAGCAGCAGCAATGGCAGCAACAGCAACACCTGGGAGGCACTGTTGCAACTGCCGTTCTCCCAAGTTGCTGCTGCAGTGCTGCAGCAGCCTCGGAGGGCGCTGGAGCTGGTGGAGTGTCTGCGGCGTGCAGCAACTTTGCTGCGACAGCAGCAGCAGCAGCAGCAGCAGCAGCAGCAGCAGGAAATACTGATGCTATTCCAGCAGCCCGAAAACGGCAGCAAAGACATTACGGAGTGCAGCGCGTGGCTGCAGGTCTTCGACTGTCTCCTTGATTCTGTTATGGCGCTGCTGCTGCCGCGCCTCAGCAGCAGCAGCAGCAGCAGCAGCAGCAGCAGCAGCAGAGACTGGACAGATACCAAGGACTTCGTGCGTTTGCTGCTGCGGTCTGCGGACGAGTACGCATTGGATGGAAAGCTGCCGCGAGAAGACGGTTCAGGTTAGCGGCACTTGCTGCTGCTGCTGCTGCTGCTGCTGCTGCTGCTGCTGCTGTGGCTGCTGCTTCAGTGCTGCACTGCCTGTGCTGCTGGTTCAGTACTGTGGCTCATCGAGGCAGCAAGCGCTGTTGCTGCTGCTGCCCGGCTTGCTGCTGCTCCAGCAGGGCGCCACTTCTGCTGCAGCGGAAGCTGCTGCAGCAGCAGCAGCTGCAACTGGGGGGCTTGCTGCGGGTGTCTTGCTGCTGCAGACTTCCTGGAGTACCGAGCTGCTGCTCTGTGCTGCGCTGCATGCGACGGAGTGGTGGCCGTGCTGCAGCAGCAGCTGGCAGCAGCAGCAGCAAGTGCTGCGCTGCCTGCTTTCCCGCTGCTGCAGCGGCAGACGCTGGAGGCTCTGGGCCAGGGGCAGTTGGAGAGGCGCAGGGAGCGGCTGCAGCTGGTGAGCAGCAAAATCCAGAAGCAGCAAATAAGAAATATAAAAAGAAGAAATATAAAATATAAAAAGAAACAAATATAAAATATAAAAAGAAACAAATATTAAATACAAAAAGAAACAAAACCTTGCTGCTGCCACGAGCTGTGCACAGGCTCAGTGACAGACGCACAGGGCAAAGCCGGCGCTTTCCGCGTTCCTGCTGCTGCTGCTGTTGCTGCTGCTGCTGCTGCTGCTACTGCTGCTGCTGCTGCTGCAGGAGTGCCTCTATGCTGCCTTTCGGTGCTGCGAGGGGGTCTTGCGGCTGTGCGAGCTGCTGCGGCCATCTGAGGCTTCGCTGCGGCTGCTGGCTGCACGGCAGCAGCAGGAGCAGCAGCAGGAGTTTGGCGTTGCTGCTGCTGACTCAGCAGCAGCAGCAGCGGGAGCAGCAGACGCTGCTGGCGGCGACGGCGGCGTGCTGCTGACGCCGGCGCAGCAAAAAGCCATGCAGCGGCTGCTGCTGCTGCAGCAAGACACGCAAGCCAGAGTCCTCTGCAGAGCCCGAATTGTAGAAGACACAGCAGCAGCTGTCAGGTGCTGCGGGGGCCCCAAGGTGTCTGGTGAGTTGTGGGGTGTGGGGTGGCTGCGGTGTACATACACCCCAAACAACTGGAGTGCATGCGCCGAACACAGAAAGGCAGCTGCAGCAGAAGACACAATGCGCTGCTTAGTCTGGCTGGAGAAGGTGCTGCAACCGCAAATTAAGTGAAGGCGACGTTCTTGCTGCTGCTGCTGCTGCTGCTGCTGCTGCTGCTGCTGCTGTTGCTGCTGCTGCTTCTGTTGCAGTGTCTCCGACCCCGCTCACGGCAGCCCTCGCGGCGTCCTTAGAAGACGCGCCGACGTTGCTGCTTATCGCGGTGTGCAACTCGCGGCGTGCAGCAGCAGCAGAGCAGCAGCAGCAGCAGCAGCAGCAGCAGCAGCAAGGCTGGGGTTGTGTCGACGCAGCAGACGCCTGGGGGGGCCTTCTGCCGGCGCCGCTGCAGCGCCAGCTGCTGGACCCTCCGTTAACTATGGAGGTTCTGCTGCAGCGCATGCAGGTAGGCAGGAGTAGCAGCTGCAGCAGCTTCAGCTGCAGCAGCAGCAGCAGCAGCAGCAACGCGCACAGCGGACGTAACCGCAGCATTGTGAACAGACAAAAAAGGCCCCAGACCATCGATATTGAGATTAAACGCCAGGGTTTAGGGTTAGGGTTTAGGATTAGGGTTAGGGTTTAGGATTAGGGTTAGGGTTTAGGATTAGGGTTTAGGGTCTAGTGCTTGGAGCCCAGGGTTTGGGGCGTTCTGTTATGCTGTTATAGGGTTTGGGGTAGCTGCTGCTTTTCCAGAGAACTGCAGCAGCTGCTGCTGTGCATTACTGTTTATTCTAGCGGCTGCTGCGCTTGCTGCTGCTGTTGCTGCTGCTGCTGCTGCTGCTGCTGCTGGCCACAGGAGTCGCCTTCGCTGCTGGAATCTGTAGTTGCTTTCTTATCTTTGGCGCTGGTGAACGACCCGTCTATTTATGCGGAGTCAGCAGCCGTGGCTGCTCCAGCAGCAGCAGCAGCAGCTGCTGCTGCAGCAGAGCACGCAGCGTCAGCTGGTGCCCCTGCTGCTGCTGCTGCTGCTGCTGAGGGGGATTCAGGTGTACAGACACTTGATGGCCCGCAGGAAGCACCTGGACGGAGAAGAGCTGTAGACTTCCTCTCGGCTCTTTCGTGGCTTCCACCTGCTGCACTTCGCCTGTGTCTGCTGTGAGCGAGGCCTGGCTTGCTGCTGCTGCTTCTGCAGCAGCAGCAGCAGCAGCAACAGCTGCTGCAGCAGCTGCTCTTGCTGCTTTGCTGCTGTCGCGAGCAGCTGCGGTCCGGGCTTGCTTTTTCGCTATGCAGGACCCTGAACGAGCTGGAAACATCTCGGGCCGATGAAGACACAGAAACCAACAACAGCAGCAGCAGCAGCAGCAGCAGCAGCAGCAGCAAGTGCTGCTGCAGTCACGTGCGGTGGATTGTGCTTGTGCTGCTTGGAGTCTACAAAGCAATTCAGCTGGGGGAGCAGCAGACAGTCACAGGGGCTGCTTGGTGAGACACAAAAGTGCTGCTGCGAGAAGCTGCGGCAGCCTCTTCACTTCCTTGAGCCAGTCTGCTGCTGCTGCTGTTGCTGCTGCTGCTGCTTGCGTGACTGGCCGAGCTGCTGTTGCGCAAGCGGCGAAATCTCCGTTGCTGCTGCTGCTGCTGCTGCTGCTGCAGGGTTGAGGTGCTGCAAAGCCACGCCATAGACCTTCAGGAAGAAGACGTACTCGTCCCCCTTGAAGTTGCAGGGTAGGAATATCTGCTGCTGCTTTTGCTGCTGCTGCTGCTGCTGTTCTTTGATCCGTCGCAAGTTAAGTTGAGGCAGCAAGCTTTTTTCCGTGTGGCAGCTGTGGCAGTCTCACGTTTTAATTAGTGTCTGCTGTCCCTCCCTTCGCCAAGTTGGCATTTGCTGCTGTTTTTGCTGCTGCTGCTGCTGCTGCTGCTGCTGCTGCACTGCTGCAGCGAGGACGCGGAGCCTGCACTTGACGTAGTGCATAGGGAGCTTGTTGCAGTTTCTGAAAACCAGAGTAAGTGTACAGAGGCAGCGGCAGCCGCAGCAGCAGCAGCAACTAAAGGAGCAACTCATCCAGCAGCAACAGCAGCAGCAGCTTCTGCAGCAGCAGCAGCAGCAGCTTCTGCAGCAGCAGCAGCAGCAGCCCCTGCTGCAGCAGCAGCAAAAGCAAGAACAGCATGGAGCTGATGTCGCTTTTTGTTCTGCAGAATATTCTTGGCCGATGCGGATCAACGCCATGGGCCTTTCCAGAGCATGCCGGCCATCAAGCAGCAGCAGCATTAGCAGCAGCAGCAGGCGGCTGCAGGAGCAGCTGCAGCAGCAGCTGGTGCTGCACTTTCCTTCCAGTGTGCTTCCAGATGACCCAGCGCTGACTCTTTGCTGCCTCCACCTGCAGCGGCTGGCAGGGTAAGTGCTGCAGCACTCTATGTGCGCTTTGGCCCAGAGTCTTTGCTGCCAGCAGCAGCAGCAGCAGCAGCAGCAGCAGCAGCAAAAGCAACACCACCTGCTACTGCTGCTGCTGCTGCTTGCTGTATTCTGCCGATACTGTCTTGCTGCGCTGCAGCCTTCCTGCAGAGGTGCCGCTGCCTCCTTCAGAGCTGCTGCCGAAAGTGCTGCAGCAGCAGCAGGAGCTGCTGCAGCAGAACTCGGGAAAACTAACGTGCACGAGTAAGCTTGCAACTGAGCTGCAGATGTTTTTTGCTGCTACTGCTGCTGCTGCTGCAGCTTCACAACTGTTGCTGCTGCCGCTATGTGAGCTGCTGCTCGCTCTGCGCCCTCCCACCACAGCCAGCACGGCAGAATCGAGAACAGCAGCAGCAGCAGCAGCAGCAGCAGCAGCAGCAGAAATGTGGATTTCGCGTTGCTGCTGCAGGCCGCCTGTCTTTGCTGCGGCTGCTTCGAACTGCTGCCCAGCTGCTGCCGCCTTTGCTGCTGTCGGAGGGCATTGCTGCTGCTAACTTTACCGTGAGTGTGGGGTGTACGTACACCTCGTTGTGGGGCCCCTAAGAAGCACCCCAGTTTATCTTCGAGTTTTGTTTGTCCTGCTTCTTTCTGTTTTTATTTTTATTTATTTGTCTTTTTGTCTTGCATTTTTATGAAGTTTTTGTTGATTAATGTCTTTTTGTCTGACATTTTAATTAATTTTTTAATTAATTGCAATTATTTGCATTGTTAGAATGTGATCTTTGGCTTCAAATGAAACAAAAAGTAAAAATTCAAGTTTAACTTAAAGTGCATTTGAGAAAGACACAAAGGAGTATAAGGAGTTTTTAAATGCATTAATTTTAAATGCACTAAAATGCACTAATTTTGAAAAAGAAATGTCTTAAATTGCTTTTGAAAGGAAACAATTTGTTTCATTTTTTCGCCTCCAGAAGATTTTATTTTATATCTTTGTCCAAACCCCTTCTGCATGCAGAAAGGGTTTAAGAAGTATTAATTTAATCCAAGAAGTTATTCTTTTATTTTTATTTTTTATTTGTTTTTATTTTTTGTCTTTAGGCGTTTTGGCGGCTGGTGTTTATTGTGGACGAAGCTCTGTGGCGGGCAGTCTTAGCAGCAGCAGGTCAGTTGTCTTTTTGCAATTCTTTTAATTTGTGTCTGCTTCCCTTTGTCATTCGTGCTGCAACTCATCCTGTTGCTGCTGCTGCTGCTGCTGCTGCTGCTGCTGCGCTGCTGCAGACGCTGCTGCCCACAGCCGCAGCACATGCCTCTACCCTGCTGCCGCAGCCCGGGGGGCACAGACTGGAGGAGGGTCTCAGAGCGAGGACTCCGCAGAAGCAGCAGCAGCAGCAGCAGCAGCAACTGCAGCAGCAGCAGCAGAGGAACCGGCCATGGGGCTGCATGCATGTTTGCTGCTGCGGACTTTGTTCTATGAGCTTGTCTGCCAGTACGGCCCGGCCATCTTAGCGCTGCCTCCAGCTGCTCCGCCTGATGAGTGTGTGCTGGCTGCTGCTGCTGCAGTGCAGCAGCAGCTGCCGCAGCAGGTTGTGCTGCTGCTGCGGCACTACGTCTCTATGCAGCAGCAACGCATTGCCACAGCCACCGCAGCAAACCAGGAAAGCCTTTGACTTCCTGCTGCTGCAACAGTCTGCTGCGAGGGAGTCCGTAGGGATGCAGCAGCAGCAACAGCTGCAGCAGCAACAACTGCAGCAGCAGCAGCAGCTTCAGCAGCAGCAACTTCAGCAGCACCAGAACGCGTGCCTCGAGCTTCCGGCTCGACAGCGCGCGAAGGGCTTGTGCGCTGAGCTGTACAGACACCTCGTGGCTCTGCGCATCTTTATCTTTCTTTTTGTCTTTTGTTCAATTAGACAAAAGTCGGAAAACAATATTTGAAGTCCATTAGAAGCAAACAACGCTTAAAATGCTGCAGCGCAGCAGACGCACAGGCAGCTGGCCAGCTCTAGAAGCAGCAGCAGCAGCTACAGCAGCCTACACAAGGAAGCAGCAGCTGCAGCAGCAGCCACAGCAGCAGCAGCAGCTGCTGCTGCTGCTGCTGCTGCCGCTGCTGCTTCTGCTTTGTAGTGTAGACAGTTGGGGGCCTTTGCTGCTGTCAGTTGTTTAGTATTGTGGCTGTGTGCTGTGCGGTGTACGTACACCTCAGCTGTCTAGACACTTGAAACGGCCTTAGCAGCAGGAGATTTTGCATGCAGCTGCTGCATGCAAATAAAATGTAAACTTTTCAATATATCTGCTGCTGCTGCTGCTAGCAGAGGCCAAACAGCTGCAGCAAAATGTATCATTCAAAATTTACAATTATACTTTATACATTCAAATGCACATGTTCGAGCTATGCACAAACATATAAAAATATATGTATATATATAAAGCTGTATAAATGTATATATATATATATATAATATCTGTATCTATATAT